CACGGTCTCTCCTGCCCGGGCTGGCTTTGAACCGTGATCCTCAGATCTCAGCCTCCTGAGTAGCTAGGATTACAGGCGTGAGCCACCAGCGCCCGGCAAAAAAGAATCTTTCAATGATAATGCAGATGGAAAGTCTTGTCTGCAAATAGAGCACTCTATTAAAATACAAAAGTTTCTTTTGGTTCCACATAAACTCTGCCTTATAGTTTCTTACAAACAAAAAGTAATCTGATAACTAAAATGAAAGATCAAATACATTATTATTGTGAAGTACAAAACATATCCCAATGGTAATGAATAAATCTTAACAAATGCCCCTATGAACTGTGTTGTGCTAGGCAAAAGCTTGAGGCCCTGAGTTCAAGTCTCCGTATTAGCACATAGATACACACACAAAATTAACCATTTCGTTTGCTAGGTAGAAGACTTCTTGATCACTTTTAAATCTAAGAAACAACTAATGAGTACTGATCCAGCAAAGGCAATCACCTTGGATTTCATCTTGACACAGAACTATACGTACACATCTGTTTCAGACATAAAGCCAACTCTAAAGAGGCGAATTTTTGGAGAACACCCAAAAGTATGGGATTTGAGAATGAGTTTGCAGCGCAGATTAACTGACGGAAGTGTGAATGTAACATCTGGCTCAGAAGTGAATATTTTCATGAATTGCAAGTCCAGATAGATATTTCAATTACTACAGAACGGATGGTGATCAGATTGCTCCCCTCTTTGAAGTCACCATATTTATAGTCTGTTTTAGTCACAAGACACTTAATCAAGTATTCCTTGCACATTATAGTTTGCTCTGTTGTTTTATCAGCTTTTTAACTCTTTATGTATACTAGCTTTGGCTGGAGTGTAATCATCTGAAGTAGAGGAACTCCATATTAATAGTTTTTAAAATTCATTCTAACATATAGGAGACAGCCTTACATGTAGTAACCATTCAGATATGTATTTGGAGAATGGGCACATGAAAAAAAATCTATAGAAAAGAAAAAAAATCATGTAAGAACAAGAAAAAACATTTTTCCAGCTTTATCTCACTCTTCAATTAAGCTAGAATTGTCAGCAAATTTTCTTCCAGCAAACAGAAAAGCAACAAAACTTCAGAATAAACAATCTGTGTAGTAAGGCAGCCTCAAACACATCCCTTTTAAAAGAACAAATACCAATATCATGACACACATCAAAATGAAATTCTTTACAACAATAAGTACATTTTCATATCTGACTTCAATTAAAATTTTTTTTAAAGAAAGTCATCTGAACAGTAGTAAAAGAACTATAAAGTCAGGGGCAAAAGTCTCATACTTGTAATCCCCTTGGAAGACTGGAATTGAGAGGATTTTAGTTCAAGGCCAGCCAAGAGGGATTTTTTAATCCCTTCCCAACCAATAGCTGGGTGTGGTGACACAGAATTGTTATCCTAAAGGCTGAGATTGGGAGGAATGAAGTTCCAGGAGAGTTCAGGAAGAAAAGTTTCTAAATGCACCTCAACAGCAGGCAGTGGGAGGAGGGGCACGCACACACCTGTCATCCTAGCTGTAGCAGGAAGTGAAAAATAGGACAAATATGACCCGGCTCACACTGGGAAAAAACTTTATTTCAAAAATAATCAGCACCAAAAAGAGTTGGAGGGTGGCTTAGTAGTAGAGAGCTTGTCTTGTAAGCATAGGACCTGACACTGAGTTCAAAGCCCAGTAGTGACCCTCCCAAAAAGGACTGAAGTAACAAAATTAGAGCTATTATTTCAATTCTAATACCTTTTTTTTTTTTAGAGGTAACAGGTGCAGACCAAAGAAGGTATGGATGTGCTTTAAGATTATTTAGGAATGTGATCAGGTAGGGGCTAGGACAGGACTTTAATCTCTGATGCCTTCACATGAGAGGCAGGTTGCTACATCACAATGTTGGAAACTAACTAAATGAAAAAACTGGTTTTACCTACCTCATTTTTTTTCAAGCTAAGAAGAAATTTACTGACTTTTCGAAAATTAATTTTTCATTGGAATTCCAAATATATTGGAACAGAAATGTTAGTGACTCAGATAGTGAGTCATTGAGCCTCTGAAATTGAGGTTATTTTGTTGGTTTTTGTTTTACCAAACTGATGACTGAACTCAGGATCACTGGCATGCAAACCATTTGCTCAACCATTGAGCTACATCCCCAACCCACAGTTCACATGTGAATGAGCTGCACTGATCTATACAACGTAATCTCTACATCTTACTGATTGCTCCTATTTTGTAAAACTTAAGCAAAATGTACTACTGAAGTTATCAATACAATAAAGTGAAATTGAGTTCTGAATTACTATTCTAAATTGGCAATTCTGAAACTGGTACTGGTATCTGAGAATTCGCTTTCAGGGATCTGAAACCCTCTGAGAATTTAGGGTTGTATTTCCCTCTTCTTAAGCATAATCTGCATTACTTGGACATCCACCACGTAACTGTGTAAAGCTATGATTTCAGTGATCACATCTGCTTCTGTCCTTTTTTTTTTTTTTTGGTCCGGTCGTGGGGCCTGACCTCTGGGCCTGGGCGCTGTCCCTCAGCTCTTCAGCTCAAGGCTAGCATTCTACCACTTGAGCCACAGCGCCACT